CTCCTTTACCTCGCTAAGCCAGAAATAATGCCGGTGAAGAGGAAAGGTTGGGCATGAGGCTATCAACCCCATCCTGTAAAATAAACATTGCTATAGAAACTTCAAGCCACTAGCTTGAAGCCCTATGTTCCACTGGGGAACGAGAAGGAAAAAAAATATAAAAGGGTGATTTAGGGATTGACCATTCAAATCTTTTCTCTCCATCTAGGATACATTTACGGGGTCACCAGAAGAAGGTACTCAAACCGAGTTCGAACAAAACACGTGTGGAGGTTAGATTCTCTCACGGAGTGGTCAAAGACTGGAACTCCTTACCTGATTCAGTGTAGTAACAGCTCCATCGGTGAACGCTTTCAAAGAGAAACTGGATCTCTGCAGAGATATATATATCACGAGGATTAACATAGCCAACAAGAGCCTCCTATCCTTACCATGTGAATTTGAATCTAAATGATTAACCTTCATAAAAGTTATATAATTTCATCAATATCCCTTTCTGCTAAAATGGGCACTTCTACATTAAAATTACTGTTGCTTGCTATAATATAAGCACTTTTCGAGTTTCCTCTTGTGTCGAAGACTTATTACGGTGCTGAAATGGGGGAGTGTATTTACATACTGATATTGGCCTTCCGTGCATACTTCGTTTAAGCGTTCCAACCAGCCTTCCCATCAGGAGCATAATTTAAAAAGAAAAAAAATAAGATTTCATCCTTTTTGCTTTTCTATTGTGAGTTCTGTTGTTGGACAAAAACACATTTGAATATCAGTGATATCGGTAGACGAAATTTATCCGCCCCCTAGCATTGATATCAGGTGTGCGTCATCTGAGACAGTAATTTACGTCAAGGTTTATGTCCCAAATATTGAGAAGGACAAGAACAAAGACTGACTCAATAACCAATCACGGCACACTTTCTTTGCGTATGCGGATACAATTAGCCGATAGATAGATGATCTGACCTTCAAGAAACAGTCACAAAGAGAAACGACCAATGAGAAGATTGTGTTTGTCTGCTAACAATAATCTATAATAATGTACATGAAAATCTATAAATATGCGTTGATTTCGTAAATAAGCGATCTGTTTGGCTGGCCCTTGTCTTCTGTTGTTACAGCATAACTTTCGGCGGAATCCATAACTGATCACAAGCTTTCATTTCCTATTCCTACTCACACGATCTTCTTCATGTCGCCTACGGATCCACACCCAACTCACAGCTTCATATATATAAATTAGATTTTCATTGGTGGGGCAGTGGCATGGTTTGTGATGTCACTAGTAGGTCTGTCTCCCCAGTGTATCCACCACCAGTCGATCCACCTTCATTTTGCTTCTATATGCATGTTTAGATAGACAAATAACTGAAATTTAGGGCTTATCTAATGCGTCTTTTTAAGAACGGTGGTCAACATCCTTAATGAATTGTGATGCGATTTTTTATTTATTTATTTATTTTGGTTAGAGGGCCAAGTTGAAATTTAAGCACCACTAACTACTGCCAATGGAGTGCCACCTCACCAATGACATTCAATCACTCACTGAGCAAGTAAGTGAAACCTGGCAAATAATGTTTTCATCATCAATAAAATATTGTCATCGAAGTGTTATGCTATTTAATGGGATATCTGGCAAGTTTCAGATGGGATTTGGGAAAGATTAAGTTATGGTTAGAGCCATGGGAAGTTAGGGTTGGGTTAACCTAATAAGGGCGAAATTCGAGTTGGTTCGAGTTGGATTATAGTTAGTTAAGGGATAATTCCACGCATGGATTAGGTTAAGGAGAGATTAGGGTTATTGTTAGGCTTAGAAGGCCTAATGATATGCATAGAATGTGGTTAAATTACGCTGTTGGTATAAGAATAGAACTTGTGTACTGTGGTGGTAGAGTATAATTCCATTGTGGGTAAAATTTATTCTGATAAAGTCTCACAGTGTTATTCAGTAGGTAATGTTTACTGATGACCACGTTTCGAGTACAATTTATTGCTCAGAAAATATTACTGTATAACAGCACTGTGAGACTTTATCAAAATAAATTTTACTCACAGTGGATTTATACTGTTGATACTCCAACTTAAAACTGAGAGCTATTTTTATCACATTTAAGAGGAAGGTATTCTCTGTAACACTTTTATACACATTTTATGCATTTGTTTCATAAATATGTGTATCCCATACACAAAAATGCCTCCTTCATGTGACTGTTGCGTTTGAGGCCACTGGCTGACTGGTAGCTAGTGGTGCTTAAAGTTTAACTTTGCCAATTATAGCTTGACTCCACACCGTATTTTTGGTACAAGTATGGAATTTTCAGCATGTGATATCGGTAGCCCAAATTTAGCAGGCCGACCATTGATATCAGGTGTGCGTCGGCAGGGGATTGAACGGCGGGCCGTGTGTATGGTAGACGAGAGTCCTAACCGCTGTACCACCAACGCACAATAGTGTCACAAAAATTACTTTCTATCATGGCTGCGAACAACTTTTCACCAATATATACACCAAAGGAATACAAGAAAAGTCAGTCATCATCTGACATTATTTTATGTAATTGAAATATTTTCTATAGTTTTAGTTTGTTTTTACGAGTTTATCACGGATTGATATCAGTTAGAGAAGCGTCAAAGTTCTACAATAGAGTCTCAAGGGTTGCGAACGCACGGGTGACCTTGAGCCTACCAATCAGAAAAAATGACGATTTTTGCATAAAATTTTACGTATATTTACATAAAAAAGCATAAAAAAAGCATTAAACAGGATATTTTTCTCTAATATGAGATAAAAAAACTCCCAATTTTGTAGAGGGGTTTCAGTTTTCAAACTGAACCAATTTCTATACTTATATTCATCTATGTGACTGAAAACAACCTCGTTTTGAGATCCGTTGATCGCTGTGATTCTATTTTTCAGTCTTCCCCAGAAGCCTTCGATTGAATTGGTATGAGTACCGGTCCTGGGGTCGACGAAGTCATCGGAATGGTTGACTCGATGATGTATATAACCCAATTGCGATAATTGGTTGTATCCTGCCCATTCATCTATGTGACTGGTGGTGCCTGGTAAGACGAGACGCTGAATAATAGGGAGGAGTGTATCAGAAGACATTTAATTCGGAGTATCACTTACAAGTACACATACTTATTCACTTCCTACACTGTGTACATCTGAATACATATCCATCAGTGACCTGGGTATACGACTGGAGGTTCATGGAAGCACCACAACCACATATCCGAGTACGTCCTATCAGTCCATCATCTAGGCAGCACCGGAAAACGTGATCTGGATGGAATTTGCATCTGAGTTCATGAACAAGGTTCATTTTAGCGCTAGAATAATGGTAAGGTTCCTCAATCAATGACTAGCATGCGTTCAGGGTCATTGGAACATTCACAAGGTCATTGGAACATTTACAATCTTGGGACTCTATTCTTGTACTTCGCCAGAGAAGCATTGAAAACCAGCCACAAGGAGTACTGGACAGCCAGCTGTTTCATCAGCCTAGTTTAGGAATCATCGGTAGTACGCATCCACCACTGCACCAGGGTTCGAACCCATGACCTTCTGGTTACAAGACCAGCTAGCTCGCTCGTATACCATTCAGCACTGACTGGGCCCCCATTCAGTGGCTCATGAATTCTAAATTCTACCAATGGTTGGGGTAGCGGTAAATCAAACCCAACATTTGGATACGTTACGCAGACAAAACATTTGCAATAATCAAAAGAAGCGAGTTAGATAAAACTCACAACTTAATAAACAACGTCTACAACGACATCAAATTCACAAGAGAACAGGAATCCGAGAACAAAATCCTATTTTTCGACGTCTTAGTCAAGCGAACAATCACAGGGAAATTAGAAACTCAAGTTTATAGAAAATCAACTCACACAGACCAAATACTGAATTACAACAGCAACAATCCAATAACACAAAAAAGGAGTTGTATGCAAACACTATTCAAGAGGGTCATTGCAGCACTCCCACTTTAAGGAAAAATGAAGAAGGATATCTCATGGATGTCTTCCAAAAGAATGGATGGATATCCATGGAATTTCATCAAAAGACAAATATCTCCAAGCCGCCAAACTATCAAACCAAAAGCCTTCGAGGAAAGCACAAAGAAAGGATATCTCAGAAATCACTGCAAGACTCTTCAAACCTTTAGGAGTTGATATCGCACACAAACCAACAAAATCCCCTCACTCAGCCAGCCCTGTGTCAACCAAACGACTCAACAGCGAAAGAAGATAAAACCAACATCATCTACAGAATAAATTGTAACAGCTGCGAAAAACACTACATTGGCCAAAGTGGGCGTCCTCTTCGTCTTCATATCCACGAATAAAAGCTACCCGTCAAAAGATATTGCATCCACTCCCTCATATCACTACACACACTACACACTACAACCACGGGCATCAATTCGACTGGCACAACCGACGTTCAAATATTAGACAGACAGACGAAACACCAAGAATGCTAGTCAGAGAATTTTTAGAAGCCTACCTGGTATTCCAGTGAATCATCAATCAATAGACACATCGAGATAGACAAAATTTACCAACCGATAAGGAAGACACATCTCTCTCTCACACACACACAAAGGGTCAAAGTTCAAGTCAAAGAAACAATACCAGTTCCAATACAAGTAGCCGCCTAGAGTGGGTGTGAAAACACACAAAAGCAACCGAAGAGTCACGTCCATGGTGGTCACCGACCAGGAGAGATGATTAATGGTGAACTCTTAGAGAAATCTAAAAGCTCACTTCAACAATTCAAATTGAGGTGAATTATGCGCTGAAGGAAGATGTTGCCTGCCTAGTGGTGGAGCGATGGAAGCTTCGCAAATTAACTACTATGCAGGTGGCTCGGAGAGAGAACACAACCACATCAAAATCATCTACCTGAGCTACAAATCTTCTCTATCATATCTATTTTATATATCCTTGAAATAAGCATAATAATACATAATAAGGCAATCAACCAATCAATCTTTTGACAGTCACTAATCTGCATTATATTTTTTGTTTTATTTTATTTCATTATATTATGTATTATTCAAAATACACAGCATAGATAATACCAACAGCGTATACTTTTGAATTAGAGAATGTAGCCGAGGCGTATGTATCACCCATTTCAACATTCCAGACAGCTTGACTACTAATAAATACACTGGCATGTTCTGGTGATCCAATATGAACCTGCACAACAAATTTATACCTTGACAGTGTGTTCATTTCACGTGCATTCTTTCTTATCATATTAGCTAGATTCATGGAAAGAGTACGTGCTTGTTGGGGTTCATAGACAACGTCTTTCAGTGTGCTATTCAATGTGCTGCGAATTAAATTTTCCAGCTGTAAAAAAAGTCAAAGAAAAAAACAAAAACACAAGTTGATATAATAAAATTTTAATCATACTGACACTATGAGTAAGTAATAGAAATTATAAAACGCACATTCTACGCCTGACTGACTTACTGACTCAACAACCAATCACAGCAAAGTTTTGTTTGCGTAGGCGGATACAATTAGCAGATAGATAGATAGGATGGTCTGACCTTGAAGAAACAGTCACAAAGAGAAACAACCACCAATCAGAAGACTGTGTTTGTCTGCTAACAATAATCAATAGTAATAATATACATGAAAATCGATAAATATCTGTTGACTTCCTTAATAAACGATCTGTTGCCTGACTGGCCCTTGTCTTCTGTTGTTACAATACTTATGTAAGCGTTATGTTTTCGCTTTTCTAAAAGCATATCAGTCGGCAGTTTTGCTGGGGTAGAATGCCTAACAGCCAGCCATACGGATAATCCGGTTTCGGTTGACGACTGTGTCAAGCACTGCTAAACTATTATCCAGTCTACAAGACACCAGAAAAAGGGAGAAGGTTCGGCGTGAGGCAATCAATCCAGACGCATTAAAATAAACCTATTGCTAATGAAAACTAAAAGTGTGAAGTTCTACATTCTATTCGAAACGCAATGAATGGAAGAGAATACACCAGTCTAACAAATACAGAACATGATGGATTAATTCCTTCTCTTAAATAAAAATAGTATACAAAGATTTTTAAATATATATGTGTAAAACTTGGGCACTGTGGTAGTGAGTAATTCCATATTAGTTTGTTTATTAGATATATCACACAGTGAAACAGTATTAGTATTCACTGGATGACAAAGTTCCGAAAAAAATTTATCGCTGTTCATAATCATATGACGAATTATAATCACACGACTTCGAAACTTGGGTTTTATAGTTTTCTTTGTTCTCTCCTATTTGTCGTCATCATTGGGGTAGTAGAATTTTCCAGATATCGGAGACATGTATTTGCAGTTGATTCGATAAACTAAGCTTTCGTTGTTATCAATCTCTCCCTCCCTCCACCCTGTGACATTAGATTTTAAAACTGTCATCCTATTCCATCCAGCCTATTGTATGGTTGTGTGTAATTCCATGTAGTGCTATGGCTGAACTATTCTGTAGAATTCTTATCTTATTGTGGTTAACCAATATAGATTTTGCTGCTAGGTTTTTATGTTCGGCTAGTCTGACTCACTGACCCTGTTCTACTACTTTGACCTATGTATTTGACCTGACAATCATTGCAGGCAGGGGATTAGATAAACTAAATTGTTTTGTTTTAAAGGCTCCACTGGCAGGATCCATTAACAGACAAAGCTTGTTTGTAATTGAGTTTGTAGGTTTAAATGCAATTTTTATTCCTGCCTTGTTAAGAATTCTGCGTAAGGTGGGTGGTTTCCAATGTTCCTTCCTTGTATGGAATTACTACTGATGATTTAGATTCCTTGTTGTTGGTGTTGTCTTGCGCACATTTGACATGCATGTCATCATTAATATTATTATTATTATCACTATCACTGCTATCATTATTTTTTTTATTTTTTACATTTCTGTACATATTTCCTAACTAAGTAATCAGGGTAATTATTAAGTTTCAAGGCTTCTTTTATGTGTATCAGTTCCTGTCTTAGATTTTCCTTGGTACTACTTAGTTTTTGTGCTCTGTTGTCACTTAAACATTTCACCAATCCTGTTTTTACTGACATAGGATGGGATGATCGGAAGTCTAAATATCTGTTTGAATGTGTGGGTTTCCTGTAAACACACACTAGTGTGATTAACTTCCCATCTTCTTTCCTTTTTACGTTGCAATCTAGAGGATAGTTCAGTTATACCACTCACTACATGCAGTTACATGCAACCATACAATAGGCTGGATGGGATAGGATAGGATGGCAGTTTTCAAATCTAATGTCACAGCAGGGCTGAGGGAGGGAGAGATTGATAACAACGGAAGCTTTGTTTATCGAATCAACTGCAAATCAACACGTGTAACAGGAATGTAGCACAACACCTGTCCAGCTGGATATCTGGAAAATTCTGCTACCCCGATGACGACGACAAATAGGAGAGAACAAAAAAAACTATAAAACTCAAGTTTCGAGATCGTGTGATAATAATTGATATGATTATGAACAGCGATAAATTTTGTTCGAAACGTCATCCAGTGAATACTAATACTGTTTCACTGTGTGATATATCTAATAAACAAACTAATATGGAAAGATTTTTTAAATCACATAGGTAATTCATTAGGAATGGGGTTTACTTTTCTCTCTGTGGTTACATTTGGTGGGTGTGTGTATCAAGAAGAGATACGCTAAACACTACAGCACCTGATACTGAAATGAAAGATCCCGACTAACGGACATCAGGTCTGTTAGTTAACGTGTTATAATTAGGTGCAACTGTCAATCTTCTTTTATTTTCAATCTTTAATGTGAACTAATTAGCCTCCGACAGCTGACTTCGATGTCTCTTTCTCTGGGCTTACCAACTAATTAACTTTGAATAAGGCATTTATTTAGAAGACAAATTTCTCCGCGAGATGATGCCGTCATTTCGTAGTTTCTTTACAGCCGCTAACTTAACACAACTAACATGACTTCCGAACTCGAATTGAATAAAAAAACTCGGTTTCCTAGATGTTACAATGACGAGGAGAGAGAGAGAGGATGGAACGATTCAGCGATCTGTTTTTCTCGTAAACAGACATGGATTGGACAATATATTCAATGCATCAGTTTTGTTCCTATCCAGTATAAACGTCCCTCCTAGTGTGAAATGTTTGTTCTCAAAGACCCGAGAAATATGCACGAGTGCCCCATTGATGGATCAGCTTCGACATATACATTCAGTTTTATTAGCTAATGGTAATCCAGAGAACTTTATCACTTGTCACAGTAAGGAAAGACCACATCTAGAAAAGACAGCTTCTGTACCAAAAAGAAAGCTATCTTTATTAATATACCTACCATTCAAGGGTGACCAGATTACGCAGTTGACAGCTACCTCAAAGACTTCAGTCAGCCATCAAAAGCACATTCTACGCCGTCGCATCTCTTTTTCTCACTTGCCGAACATTTTCTATCCCTGTACCTACGATTAAAGGACGAAATTCTGTGGACTCTACTTCAAACTGTATCTACGAGTTCACCTGCAGTTGTTGCGGTGACACCTATATACGTAGAACCAATAGAATGTTCCAATGTCGTGGTCGAAAAGAACATGTTCCAAAATGGTTACTAAAACATATAGAAAATCGCACCAATGCATTCATTAATCTGAATAGAAATCCAGCATCATCCGTCCATTGCAAAACACTTATTAATGTTAGGTCACAAAATCAATCAATATTAATGACTGTTTCACAATTATTTCATCATATGAACTCTAATTCAAGGTTGGTTATTGAATGAATGATGGAAGCACTCTTTGGAGGATTAATCACATACAGCCTCAACCGTGTGTGTACAGTGAAAACAATAGACTTCAAACTTCCTTCGCCTACCATGGACTGACTAGTTGACCTATTTAAATGTGATGATTGGTCATTAGTATGCACTTTTGTTTTTCATATAACTGAGTAATTGCCATGTGAACTTTATTTTGTTTTATAATTGTGAACCGACCATGTTAGTTGTGTAAAGCGGTTGTAAAGAAACTACGAAATGACGATATCATCTCGCGGCGAAGTTTGTCTTCTTCTAAAGGCCTTATTCAAATAAAAGAACTGTGTGATAATTTGTCCAACGATAGATTGGTTGACCCAAATAAGATAAGGAATCTAGAGAATAGTTCAGCTATAGCACCACGTGACATGCAAATACACACAACCATACAATAGCCTGGACGGGATAGGATGACAGTTTTAAAATCTAATGTCACAGCAGGGCTGAGGGAGGGAGAGATTGATAACAGAAGCTTTGTTTATCGAATCAACTGGGAGAGAATACGTGTAACAGGAATGATTCAACACCTGTCCAGCTGGATATCTGGAATATTCTACTACCCTAATGATGACAAATAGGAGAGAACAAAGAAAACTATAAAACTCAAGTTTCAAAGTCGTGTGATTACAATTGGTGATGTGTATGATTATGAACAGCAATAATGATGAATTGTGTTCGAAACAACTTTGTCATCCAGTAAATATTTATACTGTTTCACTGACTGTGTGATACATCTAATGAACAAACTAATATGGAATTAATTACTGCCACCACAGTGCCCAAGTTTTATAGGTATACAAATAGACATTCCCTCAACAAACAGAACAGATGACTTTGCATCTAGTGCAATCTAGGTTCTCCTTAAAGTATTCTGTGTTCGACTAATCAAAATTGACCCTGTCCTACTACTTTGTTTGGCCTGTGCATGTTTGACCTTATTACAGTCATTACAGGATATTAGACAAATAAAATATCATAAAAATCAAATTCGGTGATGGAGTAATATCTTCATTTGGAGAATGCCTGAAAACCAGGGAGTATTGAAGCGGGCTGGCTGTTTTTGCAAAAGTTCTCGAACTGATATTCAACACTAATCAAAACTGGAGACCGATCGAATCTCTTCAAAAACACTTGGAAGCATAAAGATGAAATATCAAAGAGGTTCTGTAGTTACACCTACTTAATATATGCGATTTATTATTATTATTTCCTTTAATTCCGAGAGGAACATAGGGCTTCAGCTGCTCACGTCTCCATTGCGTTCGGCTCTGTGCTAACGCTTTCACCTGGCTCCAAGTCTGTCCACATACTTTCATTATCTCCCCTTCACATGACTTCCTCCAAATCACCCACCCTTGCACTGACGACCAACTCGCCGCTTCTTATTCGGTAGGGTTCCACTCGAGCAATGGCTTGTCTAGTGATGTCAATCACTTGATGGTTTGTTTCCTCAGAGTATGGCCACAATCCGATCCACCTCCACTTCTTCCGGATTATTTCTTTCACAATCGGTTCCTGGTTGGTTGGTTCGCTCATTGCTAGACATCCCACCCTGTTGCTGATCTTGAGTAGTATGGAATGAAGACAACTAGCTGTTGATGAAGGTCTGTAGTTTGTTTGAGGTGCTCTTTGTGACGCGCTGGCCAAGTCTCTAATCCGTGAAGTGAGTAGCACTGACTGACTTCACATTGGAGTTGAAAATCCGGATGTCCTTTTCATTTTCATGCTGAATACTGAGTGCTGTTGACCTCCACACAGACTTGAGAGAAAGCCCGATCCGCACTGCTTTGATATCCTCGTCAGTTCCGTCGGCCTGAAGTTGAAACGATGCTTCCCAGGTAGGTGGTGGGTAGATGAAGGAGGTTGTTTCTTTCAGATTCCTCCCATTTATGCTGGCTGATTGTTGTCTGTTGTTGTTAGTGTAGGCCAGGAATCTTCATCACCTATTTCTGTTTTCTCTGTGTTCATCTGAAGGAAGTCCTATCTTCTCTTGATGCTTCTTCTGCCAACTTGTCGCTGCTTTTCACTTGTATATCTCTTCCAGTTCTTATATATGCGATTATGAACAGTAAATTTTGTTTTTTCTTCGGGCAATATCATATAATCCAGCTTTCCCATGTGTGTGTTTGTGGTATGTTCACATAGAAAAAGTGCAAAACAAGTTACATTGTGGTGAGAGCTGTCTACTAGCCAAATTGGTAGACAGTAATTTACGTCAATATTTACGTTCCCAAGATTTGTCGTGAGAAAATGTGAACAAAGATTGATTCAAAACCGACCACAGCAGACTTTGCGTAGGCGGATACATTTAACATATAGAGGATTTGACATTCAAGAAACAGTCACAAAGAGATGAAAGATTAACTTTAAGTGAGAAACAATCAATCAGAAGACTGTGTTTGTTTGCTTAACTAATCTATAATAATGTACATGAAAATATATAAATATGTGTTGATTTTGCTTAAAAAGCGATCTGTTGCCTGGCCCTTGTCTTCTGTTGTTACAACATTATGGAAAATAGTATTTGTGTACACACTAAGAGTATATGGATGACAGGCCTACCTACCTGCTTCTGCTTCACACCTTCAGTTGGTTTAGGCTTCAATTGATACGTATTCTCATATTTTATTGCCTTATTCCCTCCAACACCAACACCACCACGTAACATCCCAGATAATGAACCATGTCCTCCGAATATCGATTTACGTGAAGCAAAACTAAACCGACTCTGTCTTCTAGAATGCGTCGTGGCAGCGTTGAATGATGTCCGTCGACTTTCACTCTGCACTGTGTCGTGTATTGCTTGACGCACCTTGTCTGAATCATCGATTGAATCAATTCTGGAGAGTTTTTCATTAGACATGCTTCTTCTTCGTCTTCTTCTTCTGAAGTCCTGGGTTATTTTAACTACAACACAGTGTAGTGAAAAAAAAGAAGCAATTCTGGGAAAGAAAGAAATCTACCAATGGGAAGTTTGATCTTAACTGAGAATGTATTGAAGGTCAGTGAAATTTTTGTGCATTTGTGCATTTGTGGTGGATGGTGACTGGCAGTGACAGAATCCAGTACAGTACAGGATAACGCGCATTTTACCGGTTCTATTTGGGACTCGTCAGTTGGCTGGAGGATGTACCTGCATTGCACAATGAGTCAGTGATGATGTTCCCACTACCAAGGCGCGAACCCAGTGCCCATTGTTTCAAACACCAACCAAAGCGTTATCCACTAGACCACTTGGGAGACGAGAGCCACCCCACCTCTTGTGCGACGGGTCATATTAATTATTAAATTGAATTTTAGACTTTCCCGTCCGTCGATTGATTGGACCTTACTGCTTGGTCTCAGGTTGACATGTCGGCATGCGCATCCTGGATTCCACTGCTAGTCACCATCCACCAATTAAATTCTAATTATATGCTCAAACATCGTCGAAGCATCTGCACAAGAAGCCAACAGACCTGTCAACCTGAGACCGAGCATTTCGGTCCAATCAGTCGACGAGAAAATCTGAAATTCAATTAAATTTAGGCATTGTTAATAATAATAATAATTTGCTTTATTCCAAAACAGTACATGTGATACAGAATGGAATTCTCAGCATTTTTACTACAGTATTGCATCCAGTTAGTACATTATCAATAAATAGAATTCTACATAGATTAAGGAAATCTCAGTTCATTATTACAACAACATATTGGAATGTCGGTAGCAAAGGTAAAGCTGAACAGTGTTTGAAGGTGTTTGAAAAGTAGGAGCTGTCATATTTACTGGCGTAAGCGAGAGAAAGAAACAAAGCAGCACATAACGGAAAAGAAAAAATAGAGAGAGAGAAAAGGAAAAGAAAGAAGGAAAATGTTGTACCTATAAATGATATGAGTTGGAAAGACGAGATCCAGTTGTACTACTGACTATTTAATGAATTATAGGTGTCACGCCTAATGCTTTCTTTATCACACAGAACACGAGCTAAGTAGGGTATGGTTGAGCTTTTGTACTTGCTAGTGTGAGCATATAGTTATCTCTACATAGGCTTCTGGTTTTACCTGATGAGATTCAAGGGGAGAGTTGTGAGTGAAGAGGGTGCTGTGAGTTAGATATAACGGATTTGGCCCATTTTTCACATTAGTCCAAGTGCCTGGCTGTCAACCAGAATATCAACAAGCTGGTTAAGTGGCACGTTGCTTACCCTGCTGACAACCTTTAACATCCTGCGTAATATGTTATAGTCTTTCTTCAGTAGCCCTGGAATAACTAATTGGGAACAATAGAGAATAATATGCAGGATGCAAGAGTTAACGAATTGTAGGAGTAAGGGTTGGGTTGGGTTAAGTTATTCCAGAATTTCTTAACTTCTTGATATAGAAGGTGAGACGGAATATTTTCTTAGAAATCATCAAGATATGAGACGACCAGGAAAGATCAGCAGATAGAATGACGCCAAGATATTTAATTTCCGACTTGGTTTCTATTTCAGTGCCATCTATGTTGCACACCTCGTGAGAGCCAACCAGTTTGTTTAGGTCAGATTTATGCCTCAAGGTAAAATTGACTGTTTGGCATTTGGAGGGGTTTAGGGTAAGACCGTTTTCGTTGGTCCACCGGCTAATTTCTGACAGAAAGCCATTAATAATAATAAGTTTGAAGTAAGATTAGGTAAGTAATCCAGATTCTTTTGTTAAACACTGATACTTTACGAATATATGTGTGAAACTTTAACATTGTGGTAGTAAGAAATTCCATATTAGTTTGTTTACTAGATATATCACACAGTGTGCAACAGTATTACTTACAACATATCCCAGTATAACATTGGAGTGTCAATAGAGAAGTCACACCACATGTTCTGTACATATATTCAGATATCCAAATGACTATAAATGAGATCCCTTTGAGGTCCATTTACAGACCTCACAAGCTGTTTTAAAACCCAGTAGTTACAAATATACAAAATCTGCGTTAAGGAGGGAGATGCGACCTAGCAAAAAATGTCCCTAAGAAATATTTAAATTATCAGCTTACCTTCCCTAGCACTAACTCGTCTCAAACAAATTGGACAACGATGGACATATCCATCAATCGACCTGCTAAAGCTTTTTTAAACTCAGGACGCCACCACACGAACAAATCCTCTCCTTTCTAAGCAACCCGAAACCGAGGCAATACTGCAAAACACTATCCTCCTCGAAATGCATGCGTAAGTTCGTTAGACCACGCATTTGCTGATACGAATCAAGCGCTATACAACCTTGAACTCACGTGCATAAACCTTACTGGACCATTCGAGGTCGTTCGCTGATTGGTGGTAGCTAGTGGTGCTTGAAATTTAACTTAGCCATCGACACAAAACGAAAAATAGCCTGCCTAAATCAATTTACATTATAATTATTTAACTGAATTTTAGATTTTCCCGTCCATTGATTGATTGGACCGAAGTGCTCGTCGGTCTCAGGTTGACATGTCTGTTGGCTTCTTGTGCAGATGCTTCAACAATGTCTGGGCATGCAATCGACGGGAAAATCTAAAATTGAATTAAATAATTAATATGACCCGTTACACACAAGAGGTGAGGCGGGTCTCGTGGCCCACGTGGTCTAGTGGATAACGCTTTGACTGCTGGTGTTCGAAACTATGGCCACTGGGTTCGAGCCTCCGTGGTGGAAACACCATCACTGACTCACTGACTGGGGAATACAGGCACATCCAGCCAGCTGACCACTAGTCCTAAATATGACGAAATGAGCGTTATCCTGAACTAGATTTCACTGCCATCTACCAATTAAATTACATTATAGTTCTTTTGAAAATCAAATTTGTACTATTGTTTAGCTTGAGACAATGTATTCGTTGAAAGTAGACTTTTTTCTTGAGTCACATATATTTTGTTTTACTAATCCAAATATATAAGCACGACTGCACTGTGTCTGATGTAATTATGACTGTCACTTATGAATGTCAGTTAAACCTCTCTCAGAAGAAGAAGTGATACAGCCAGTAATGTTTTACTGATTACGTCATTGCACTCAACAATCAGTGAATCATTACTGATCAGGCGATTCGCTCCTGCTGTCAAATGTAAGATGATGTTACAGGACTGACTGGACTACACTGACTCCTAGTTTAGAAATATGGAGTGAAGTGGTTAGTGGAGAGCGTTGACCGCTTTACTTATTTCGGCGGTACCATCAGTCAGTGCCAACGGGTTGATCTCTGACGAAATCTCAGCTGAGTACGGATACAGAGGGCTAGTTTCGCATACGCCCGCCAGTTTACACCGTCTCTGGCTTAGTAGACGTGATATCCGACTGACTGGCTGTCGACCAAAGGGCGGGTGTACTGCTCAGCCAGCAGTCCGCTCCGTCCTCCTTTATGGCTGGCTGTGAGCGAGACCTGGCCATTGAGAGTGGAAGACATGAAAAGGCTGATTAGCTGTCTTCGATCATAGGTGCCAGCGTTCTATCTCCCGTGTTAGTTGGTGGTATAATAATGTGAGCAATATTGAGGTGAGGCATCGGTCGAGCCCTAGGTAAGGAGGGGAAATCAATCGACAACGAGGCTGTGAAATTACATCGACTGAGATGGTTAGGACATGTGTTACGTATGCATGCCTGGTCATCGCCTTCCTCGACCGACGGGCAATGTCAGCTGACTGATATAGGGTCAGGTTGGGAAAGAATTAGCTAGCGGCGGTCAAACCAAAACATAGCCTCACCAGTCAATGAAATCCACAACAGTTAGTTTTAGCCAACCAGTGACGTATATAGGAACGTGTAGACTGGCTTCCTGACTGGTTATGGTCCTCGGGACGGTAATACCAATGAAGACTGGAAACAATTGGTGACATGGTTGGCTCAAAATCGTTCTCAATGGCGCAGATGCATCCACTGCTTGTGAGTTATGATTCCCAATGGAACTATATTGTTCTTCGTTATAACTATTCGTTTGTCTCACACCTCTGTGTATTGTCTCTCTATTATGAATTTCTTCTACTTTCTTCTCTTGCTTTGTGCGCTACATGGAGTGGAGGGAGTGTGGCGACTTGAACTGGTGCACATATGTGCAAAGTTCTATGTCGAAAACAGCCAGACAGACAGACAGACATAACTTATCGCAAGTCAGCAAGCAGTATTCGCCTTCTTCACCCAAGGATGAATAACACATTGAATATTCCAGAAATTAACAAAAATTATAAAAATGGGAGTCATACTATAAATTGAAAAAATATACCCTACAGTGGGAATTGTCCACTTATACCCACCACCTTTATCCTCACAGAGTTAAAATATCTTTTAAAGAAACATTTTACATAATTAGCATAACCTTATTATTATAATTATGATTGTTCCCTTGGGATCCTAGTGGAACATAGGGCTCCAACTGAACGTCTCCACTTGCTTCTGTCTTCTTCTGTACTTTTCACTTGCATCCATGTTAATCCATACTGTTTCAACTCCTCTTCACACGATCTCCTCCATGTCACCCTTCAACGTCCCACTCGCCTCTTCCCTTTCGGGTTCCACTCGAGCGATGGCCTGACGTGGGATGTCACCTAGCGGCCTCCTCAGCGAGTGTCCAATCCATCTCCACTTCCTCCTGCATATTTGTTGGGCGATTGGTTCCTGTTTCGTTTGTTCCCATAGCTTCTTGTTTGTGATTCTTTCTGGCCATCTAATCTTCAGTATGGAGCGAAGACAGTTGTTGATAAAGGTCTGCAACCTGTTGTAAATATTCTTGGTGACCCCCCAAGTTTCTGATCCGTAGAGCAAAATTGACTTTACGTTTGTATTGAAAATCCGAATTTTGTTGTTGAGTGTTGCTGAGTGACAGCGGAAGATTTCCAGATTGGTTTCAGGTTGATGAATGTGTTCCTCGCCTTCCCGATTCTCGACTTGACATCCTCGTCCGTTCCTCCTGTGGTTGAGACAATGCTCCCTAGATAAGTGAAAGAAGTAACCTCTTTCAAATCCCTCCCGTTGATGGTGATTGGCACTGGATGTTGCTGCTGTTGTTGGTTGGTTATTTTGATAACCTCCGTCTTGTCTATGTTCACCTGGAGTCCTGTCTTTGCTGCTTCTTCGACCTCGCCTAGATTATTAACTCGCTAGTTTTCTAGTCGGTCCCACGCCCGGATAAAGAGAGAGAGTGCTAGTAACTGCACCCCGAAAACTTAACCAGACTGCTACAGAAACTCTAACGCATAAATATATTAAAAATGCTAAAAATATAAACAAGCATAACCTTAATAAGAGATAGTTTCTAGCAGCATATGACACCAGATTACCCCTAGGTCAGCAGCTTAGCTTTGTGATCTTATGGGGTATAACTACTTTTATAGATTGACACAGGACAATGCCAGCTGCAGAGTTTTCATCATCCGGTGGCTAAAGCATCACAGTAGCGCTAGTTTTCCTAGCTAGACGGCACTTTACACTTTCCAACTTTGAGATGTTAAAGAATATTTTCATAAATCAACTCAAGTGGATGTCATATTCTTGGTGTGCTCTGTGTGTTGTCTCGAATAGTTGGTGCATTAACAACTTTCAAGCTTCTCTATTGTCCATCTAAATAACTTATGTTGTAAGAGAATGCTGCATGCCAAGTAGTCGCCAATGATTTTCCTGATTGCGGTAGGCTGGATAATGCGACAGACAGTTGCGGGCATGTCAGTGGGGAAACAGGCATAAAATGGACTCACACAAAAAGAGACTTGGAGGATCTGGACTTCGCCGATGATATATGTCTGATTTCCCACAAACTGGAAGATATGCAAGCGAAAAGCAGCAACAAGTTAGCAGAAGAAGCATTCAGAGAAAATAAGACTTCCTTCAGGTGAACATGGAGAAAACAGAGGTAGGTGATGAAGATTCCTGGATAACAACAACAGACAACAATCAGCCAGCATAAATAGGAGGAACCTGAAAGAAACAACCTTCTTCACCTACCTACCTACCTACCTGCCTATCTGGGAAGCATCGTTTCAATTACAGGCCGACGGAACTGACGAGGATATCGAAGCAGCGAGGATCGGGAAAGCAAGACAAGCTTTCATTACTCTCACGTCTGTGTGGAGGTCAACAGAACCACTCAACATCAAAAATAAGATCCGGATTTTCAACTCCAATGTGAAGTCAGTCAGTGCTACTCACTTCACGGATCAGAGACTTGGCCATTGCGTCATAAAGAGCACTTCAAACAAACTACAGACCTTCATCAACAGCTAGTTGTCTCCGTTCAATACCACTCAAGATCAGCAACAGAGTGGGATCTCTGGCAATGAGCGAACCAACCAACCAACACAGCAGGAACCGATTGTGCAAGAAATAAGCAGGAAGAAATAAAGGTGGATTGGATTGTGGCCATACTCTGAGAAAACAAACGACCGAGTGACATCACTAGACAAGCCATTGCTCGAGTGGAACACGAAAGGGAAGCGGCGAATTAGTTGGTCGTCGGTGCGAGGGTGACTTGGAGGAGGTCATGTGAAGGGGAGATGATGAAAACGTGTGGACAGACTTGGAGCCAGGTGAAAACTTTAGCAGAGAACCGAACGCAATGGAGACATGAGCGCCTGAAGCCCCATGTTCCTCTTGGAATTAAAGGAAACAATAATGTATCATTCACTTCAAAATGAGAACACACAATACCAACACAACAGTGACATTTTCCGATGAATTTAGAAACAAATTTGACTTTGATTGCACACTTACTGTTAATCTGCGCTGCGCTGAACAGTAATCACCTTGTTGAATCGATTTACTCCAACTTCTAGTTGTTAGTTCATATATACTATTTTATCCGTAATTGTGAAATAATAATAGTTATTTGAAATTGAATATTTTTGCGATGTTGTGACTACTATAAACGTAGCCATTGGTAACTGCAATTACTCCTGCTTTTATTGGTTAATTTGAGTTCAAATTACTTCAGCTTTACTTTAACTTCTCTGTCTGTCAATATTTTTATCCTGATATATTTACTCTACATATATACTTCGTTGCTTATGTAGCTTACAAAACTTTATACATGAAACAGGCACACACGCACTCAGGCATAACCCAACCGCTCCTCCTCCTCTTACAGTTTGTCAACTGTTAACCCCTGCTTATTCTCTCTTGGATTGCTTAAACGAAAGACTATATCATACATCGTAGAACTCTGAAGACTGTCAGTCAGTCAGTCAGTAGGGCGAGTGGCACCTATCCCATTAGGCCACATCGTTGACATTGTCATTCACGATAGGCACTTGATGTCATGCAAAAAATTTGCTAGAGGAATTTTGTCAGACTGTGAACATCCACCACATCACCCACAGCTTCAACCATGTGTCTGCTCCTCACGTAAAACAAGAAGTCTTTTCAGAAGACTTTATGCACGTACGTCTAAGTATAAAAATTCCACTATACCATATTTCGTGGCACGTAATTTTTATGATCAAAATAGTGTTGAGCATGAACTAACTAACTAACTAACCTTCTTTGCACTACTAAATAAACCATTTTCCTTCCTCCTAAGAACATCAACCTTTATTGTTATTGTACTTCTTATACTTATAGTCCTCTCAATTTTTTATTTTTATTTATTTTCTCATAAGTGTGAACATCATTTAAGCTGTGTTATAACTGTGTTAATTTTGTCTTTCCCCTCACCATGCTGCTATATCAACAGAACATTAGATTTAATACTCTATAATAACATGCTAAAATTTCCAAACTGAATCGGCAATACTGTTTGAAACAAACTCACTGTTACTGTTATTATTATTATATTTAATATTCTCACTTCGTGCTTCGAATATTTTTGACTTCAAATCGTAAATGTGGACAAATTCCTCTGGTTAATTTTGTTTTAATTTTTAAATTTATTTATATTTTGAGGAGTAAATCAGATGCAAGGTGTTGTGACAAATGCTGAGAATTCCATTCTCCATTATAAGTATTGTCTGTTTCAGGGCTAAAGCAGATTATCATTATTTAAAAACAAAACAATAACAAGTATCAGTCACCATTTTTGTCAGAAATTTGAAGGCAATTACGTCTTTCATTTACACACATTGTCAGAGCATAGTGTATCGACGACGTTCGAAATTGGTGACATTTTTGCACCACGTATTTACTCTGATATTCATTTACTGCTTATAGTCATCTAATCCTTGAAATTATGGTCCAAATCTCTAAAAACAAAACGTGTTCGTAGAAACACAATTAATTGTTTTAGATAGTGGCTCAACCTCGGTTATAACTGCATTACCCCGCCCCCTGTAATACAGCATTAACTACTAGCTCACAAAATGGCTTGAGTGCAATTCTCACACGTGTTATACAGATGAAAGATGTTCTGTTAGAGAACAGAACTCTGAGTTCTGTAAATTAGACCTCCTTGTGAAAGATATCCAGAAGCAAGTAAGTGAGAAAGTCAGGAAAAATTAGGTCAGTTTGATAGCATATCACTGCCAATCTCAAATATCCCGGAGAGCCGTTCCGATATTGGCCAGCTTAAGTCTCTACTGAATGTAACTCAAAACAAGCTTACTGTTTAGAAACATCCCTGAATGTCTCCGGACAACCTTAATAAAGCTGAAAATCTGATTGATTGCGCTTGGCCAGGGAGGTGATGAAGCGTTTAGCCTCTCTCTTCTCACCTAGTTAAAATTTATCAGTTATGATTATTATTGTTTCCTTTAATTCCTTCCTAGAGGAACATAGGGCTTCAGCTGCTCACGTCTCCATTGCGTTCGGTTCTCTACTAGAGTCTTCACCTGGCTCCATGTCTGTCCAAAGGAATAAAGCAGATTATTATTGTCTCAAATAGATGGATTAACAACTGTGAAGCTTCTGTATTGCCCATTTAGATAACTTACGTAGGTAGCTACATTCACTTGTATCAATAACAATAAACCTTGATGTTGTAGGGGTGGAGGAAAATGGTTTATTTCGTAGTGCAAAGAAGGTTAGTTAGTCAGTTAGTTCATGCCTAACACCATTTTAATCACATAAAGTACATGCCGCCAAATATGGCATAGTGGAATTTTTTTTTTTTTTTTTTGATTTACAGCTTGATTTCCACACCGTATTTTCAGTACAAGTGTGGAACTTTCAGCATGGATATCGGTTGCCCAAATTCAGGCATACCATAGATATCGGGTGTGCGCCGGCAGGGGTTCGAACCCCGGACCATGTGCATGGTCGGCGAGAGTCCTAACCACTGTGCCACCGACGCACGTAGACGTATGTGCATAAAATCTTCTTGAAAAGTCTTCTTGTTTTACGTGAGGAGGAGACACAATGTTGGAGCTGCGGTTAAGTAAAGTGGGTGGTCACAGTCTGACAAAATTCCTCTAGCAAATTTGTTGCATGACATCAAGTGTCTATCGTGAATGATAATGTCAACGATGTGGCCTAATGTGATACCACTCGCGCTACTGACTGTCTGATACACAATACCAACACAACAGTGACATTTTCGGATGAATTTAGAACAAATTTTACTTTGATTTCACACTTACTGTTATCTGCTGAATAATAACCTTGTTGAATCCGTAATAGAAATAATAATAGTTATTTGAAATTGAATATTTTTGCGATGTTGTGGCTACTATAAACGTAGCCATTGGTAACTGCAATTACTCTTGCTCTCATTGGTTAATTTAAGTTCAAATTACTTCAGCTTTAATTCAACTTCTCTGTCTGTCAATATTTTTATCCTGATATATTTACTCTACATATATACTTCGTTGCTTATGTAGCTTACAATGAATGATAAACGCACACACAAATAAAATGGTTAACTACTGGGTATCTGTGTTTTTTATACACCGTCAGTGTAGAAGGTCGGGAAGTCAACGTGGTGATTTCCTAGGCAACGGGAATAATGAATGAACTGTCTCTCTGGTTTACAGTAGGATAAAAACGTATTCAGGCATTTTCATCAACAGAATTTTTTAAATAATAACAACAAAGAGACTAACACCAATCAATCAATCAATCAATCGACAACCACCACACAGAGTTCGAACCCAAGACCTTCCGGTTACAAGACAGCTGTCTGGCAGTACTCCCTGTGGCTGGTTTTCAATGCTTCTCTCTAACTGATAGCAATCAGTATTATTTATTATTATTATTATTGTATCCTTTAATTCCTACAGGAACATAGGGCTTCAGCCGTGCGTCTCCATTGCGTTCGGTTCTCTGCTAGAGTCTTCACCTGGCTCCATGTCTGCCCACACGTTTTCATCTCCTCTTCACATGACCTCCTCCAAGTCACCCTTGGACGACCAACTCGCCGCTTCCCTTTTGGGTTCCACTCAAGGGCTTGTCTAGTGATGTCACTTGATGGTTTGTTTTCTCGGAGTATGGCCAATCCATCTCCATTTCTTCCTACCTATTTGTTTCACAATCGGTTCCTGGTAGGTTCACTCATTGCCAGAGGTCTCTGTTACTGATGTTTTCTGGCCATCCGATCTTGAGTATTGAGCGAAGACAACTAGCTGTTGATGAAGGTCTGTAGTTTGTTTGAGGTGCTCTTTATGACGCGCTGGCCAAGTTTCTGATCCGTGTAGTGAGTAGCACTGACTGACTTCACATTGGAGTTGAAAATCCGGATCTTATTTTTGATGCTGAGTGTTGTTGACCCCCATACAGACTTGAGAGTAGTGAAAGCTTGTCTTGCTTTTCCGAACCTTGCTTTGATATCCTCGTCAGTTCCGCAATCAGTGATCAACTCGTAAAAACAAATCTGATCCTTACAAACCAAACTATAGAAAATTAATCTGATTCTCGCTAGTGACTTGCTGCAGGATGGAGTTTCCTGGAGTCAGTCAGTTCTAGTGGGAAGTCGTGACCAGTGAAGTGCTGGTCCATCCAGATGTCACGTGTGAGAATGGATGCCCCGCCGACGACAGTGGTTGGTGTCAGTCGCGCTAAATGCATCACGAATTGTTAGAAGTTAGAATTCATGAGTTGGCTGGCTGGCCATTGAATCGGGTTGGGCCCCAGTGGCTGAATGGTATATGAGCCAGCTAGCTTGCCTTGTAACCGGAACGTCCTGGGTTTGAACTCTGGTGCAGAGGTGGGCGAGTGCTGCCGATGATTCCCAAACTAGGTTGATGAAAGAGCTGGCTGTCCAGTACTCCCTGTTGGTTTTGAATGGTTCTCTAACTGATATCCGTGATCAACTCGTAAAAATATAACTAACACTTACAAACCGAACTATAGAAAACCATCTATTCGGGGTATGACATTAATGTCCTACAACTGGAAGAATTATTCAAAGAAGAATTGATTCACACTGATTGATCTCTCTAGAAGATAACCAGTATTGTGTGTATCTAGTCGTTGCCATCGGCGCTGACTGAATCCTGTAAGAAGAGTTTTAAATGTGTTCATCAAGTTAGTCAACCATTGTGCTATACCTGGTGTGACATGGGTTCCATTAATACGAATAATAATAACAATTAGTTTAAGCAAATGCCAATTTTTTGGTCACTGGTTCAAGGAAAACGGTCTTACCTTAAATCCCTCTAAAAATGTCAAACAGTCAATTTCACCTTTAGGCATAAATCCGACCTAAAGAAACTGGTGGTTAGCACTCACGAGGTGTGCAACAAAGATGGCACTGAAATAGAAACCAAGTCGGAAATTCAATACTTAGGCATCATTCTATCTGCCGATCTCTCCTGGTCGTCTCATATCTTGATGATTTCTAAGAAAATATTCCGTCTTACCTTCTACATCAAGAAGTTAATACATTCTGGAATAACCAACCCAACCCTTACTTCTACAATTCGTTAACTCTCGCAT